ACACCTTTTTTATTTCCTCCTTCAAGTGATAAGAAAAGATGTCTTTTTTCTTGACCAAAGAAAAATTTTTGTCATGACCAAAGAGTTCTTTGTTACTTTGAGATTTTAGAAGTTTGGAAGCATTTAGTTAATGATCACTCCATAGTGTTGATGATTCATAAGCTTAGAAAAATGTAGCCAGTGTTTTAAATGTTTCTCATGTAGTCAGTTGTATGAAATTGGATTCAGGAAGAAGAGGAATATCTTTTTTTTTTTTAAGATTTTATTTATTTGAGGGGCACCTGGGTGGCTCAGTGGGTTGAAGCCCCTGCCTTTGGCTCGGGTCGTGATCCCAGGATTCTGGGATTGAGCCCCGCATAGGGCTCTCTGCTCAGCAGGGAGCCTGCTTCCTCCTCTCTCTCTCTGCCTGCCTCTCTGCCTACTTGTGATCTGTCTGTCAAATAAATAAAATCTTAAAAAAAAAAAATAAAAAAAAAAGATTTTATTTATTTGATAGAGGGACAGCCAGAGAGGGAACACAAGCAGGAGGAGTGGGAGAGGGGGAAGCTCCTGCAGAACTGGGAGCACTATGTGGGGCTCAACCCAGGGGTCAGACACTTAACAACTGAGCCACCAGGGCGCCTAGGAGAGGAATCTTGAAGGGAGTAAGAGACAGTTTTCCAATCCTGTTTTGATTTTCAAATAATTGTATCTTTTTTCAGAAGTTACTTTCCAGTATATTTCTGTATATGCTTTTTTATTAACGAGAACAGAAGAGAACACATAGATTAAAGTCACTAAAATTGCGAATTTCCTTATTTCTCAAAATTAAAAAAAAAGAATTGATTTCTAATTTAGTTTCATTATGTGGACTATAGAGAGGAAGGAGAAGACAAAAAGGAAAGGTTGGATGAGCTACAAATTATAACCAGCCTCTGCTTTTGTAAAAGTATTTACTACTTGGGTACATTGGGAAATGTCCAGTGTTGGGTAACAGTAAGAGACTTAACATGAATAATTAGCAGAGAGATAAATAGTTAAGCTTTTCCTGGGCTCTGGTACAAAGTTCAGTATTATGCCCACAAGCCCTAGAGGACTCTTAGCCAGCTCAGTTTGGGGGCGGGGGGTGGGGGTGGGCGAGAAATGCAGTGCGAGCTCTTCCAGAACTGACTCTGTTGGCTTACTTATCTTTTATTTGTTACCAACTTCATCAATAAAAGTATATTTTTTTCCCTTGTAGATAAATAAAAATATTTTATTAATGGAACACAATCTGTAGAGTTTGCTGGAGAGACAGATTATACAGAGGTAAAACAACTAGGCTGTTCCAAGGCAATCATAAACAGCTGAGTTACATGTACTGAACATGAGTACTAAGAACAATTCAGAGGTCTTTGACCCAGAAATGTCTGTCCTGGGACTATCACATAGAACTAAAAGCACCAGTAGATAAGCATAAAAGTACCAGGAAATAAGTACAAAGATGTTTATTATTACAGTGAAAAGCTGAAAATAGTATACATGCCCACCAGTATAGAAATAGACCAATAAGTTATGATATATCACCCTAAAAAATAGGTGGAGACATCAAACAGAATGAATTGAAACTATGCAAGATGACTTGGTGGGAAGGATTTCTGTCAGGTGTCACTGTGGTAGAAAAGCAAGATATAGAAGAATGTATATATCCCATGTCTATAAAACACAAGTGACCAAAAACCCCTAAATGCAGTATAGGAGTATTGAGAAAAAGAGGAAAGGATACATGCTAGATTACAAGTGTGGATGAGGTGTTCATGTGGGTAGGAGGAGGGAAGGGAGGTGACGAATCAAATAGCAAAGGAAAAGGGGGGAAATATTTATTGAGAGAGTTCAGTGTGCTGTGATTACATTTATGTACAACTATAGGATATATATATATATATAACAAAATGAAACAATTAACTTAAAAAATAATGCATAGGGACAAATCAACATGATCTGGGCTCATCAGGAAAGCCTTTTGAATGAGAGGCGTCTAAAAACAAACAGGCACTGAGCCTGAAATCTTGGGAGTGGAATTGCTACAGAGGGAGAAGAGATTTTGGAAAAGTGACACATTGTAAACAAAGTAATAGGGAAAGAACAGATTGGACCTAGGGAAGACAAGAAGGAATTAATTTCAGAATAATTGGAGAAATAGTAAGAAAAAAGTTGGCCAGATCACCAAAGACAATATATTATGTGATTTCATTCTATGAAATGTCTGCAATAGACAAATCCATAGAGACAAAATAGATTAGTGGTTGCCAAGGGCTCGGGCAGATTGGGAGGAAAGGGGGAGTGACTACTCATGGGCAGGGATTTATTTTGGGAGTGATGAAATACTTTAAAATTGATTTTTGTAATATACAATTCTGTGAAAATACCAGAACTATTAAATTGTACATTTAAATGGGTAGATTGTATGCTGTGTAAATCATATCTCAAGCTTTCCTTAAAAAGTTGTCCAGATAAATTGGAATCACCTGGTAGAGAGCATTAAAATCTACTTAAGAGCTGGAATTTGATCTAGTGGACAACAGAGAACCATTGTAGGTTATGTGTACGGAATGGACTGCCCATGTTCTTTTATCCTCTTTTTCTCTTTATTTGGGATTTTAATTATGAGAGTATATACTCATTGAAACAAAATTCAAATAATATTAAAAAGCATGTTAAAAAGGGGCACCTGGTGGCTCAGTTGGCTACGCATCCGACTCTTGATTTCAGCTCAGGTCATGATCTCAGGGTTGTAAGATAGATCTCTGTGTTGGGCTCTGCACGGGCCTGGAGCCTGCTTAAGATTCTCTGTCTCCCTCTCCCTATGCCCTCTGCACCCCCACTGGTGCATGTTCTCTCTAAATAAATAAATAAAGCATGTTAAAAAGAAAATCTTTGTCTTAACTCAGTCCCTGTAGATTGCCGCTATAAAATTTGGGATTTTTTTTTTTTCATTTTTTTTAAAGACTTTATTTATTTGAGAGAGAGTGAGCGCATACAGGCATGAGCAGGGGGAGGGGCAGAGGGAGAGGGAGAAGCAAACTCCTCGCTAGCAAGGAACCTGGTGCAGGACTCGATCCTGAGACTCCAGGATCATAACCCAAAGACAGACACTTAACCAATTGAGCCATCCAGTCACCCCAGAAATTGGGGGGGTTTTCCCTAATTCTTTTTTTCTCTCTTTTTATTTTTTATTTATTTTTTTAAATATTTTATTTATTTATTTGACAGAGATCACAAGTAGGCAGAGAGGCATGCAGAGCCGGGGGCGGGGGGGAAGCAGAGAGCCCGATGCGGGGCTTGATCCCAGGACCCTGAGATCATGACCCAAGCCGAAGGCAGAGGCTTTAACCCAATGAGCACCCAGGCGCCCCCTCTCTTTTTATTTTGTTTTTGTTTGTTTGTTTAATAATTGGGGCCATATTATCCATCTTGTACTGTAACTTTTTCATGTAGCAGTATTTCATGGCTATCTTTCCATACTTGGATATGGAAACCAGCTACTACGGGAAATAATAATAGTAATCCACATCATGAAGTCAATGTAAAGATTAAATGAGTTGATACCTACAAGTAATTAGAATTGTACCAGACACATAAGAAACATTCAGTAAGCATTAGGTGGCATTTTACTATTAATATTGCTAAGTGTAGGCTGAAGGATATAGCTTTCATGAGTGTTTTTTTTTAGTAGTTCTTTTGCTTTGCAACCTAAAGTGAAGGCACACATAATTTCCATTGCCGAAGGGAAAAACCACCCAGTTACCACTGGGCTAGCAACCAGGCAGTTTGCTGGCTACTAATATTGAGAACTAATAAGTTAACTTTTCATAACACAGGTTCTCAGTGTGAGTTTTAGGAGTGGGCTTAAGTGAATCAGAGACTCTTGAAATTTTATGTCAGAAATTTGTGTGTGCCTATGTGCAGTTTAGTGAAAAATGAATCTGTAGCTTTTATTTATTTTTTTTAAAGATTATTTATTTGAGAGAGAGCACGCCTGCTCAAGCAAGGGGCAGGGCGGAGGGAGAGGGAGAGAAGCAGACTACCTGCTGAGCATGGAGCCCTACCCGAGGCTTCATCTCATGACCCTGAGATCATGACCTAAGCCAAAATCAAGATCATAAGTCTAACCGACTGAGCCACCCAGGTGCCCCTGAATTCATAGCTTCTAAACATTCTCTAAGGAATCTTCATTCCTTAAGAACTACATGCTTTATCAAGTTTGCTTCTCATGACAGCCCCAAGAGGTAGATAATACTGTCAAGTGTTTCAAAAATATAAAGATGGCCCCACTTGGAAAATACAAAGATTTTCCCTCAGGGAAGGAACATCAAGTAGGTTATGTTATCCAGCTCTATTGTTAATACAAAGTAGAGAGTGAAAAGTCCTATTAGAAGGGTAGTATTATGCATTGGAAATTCAGAAGGAGAGATTTATTTTATCTCTTGAAATTGGGGAAAGCTCTTTGACCTTAAACTCCATTATGTTAAAAACTATACATCATTTAACAAATATTTATCAAATGCCCAGTATATTCCAGTTCTTATTCTAGGCTCTGGGAACATAACATTAAATAAACAAAAATCTATGTCCTCATAGAGCTTACATTCTTTCAAGAAAATCATACACAGGTAATATCATCCTTCTCACCTTTTATATTGATACTTCAGGTCAACCTTAATTATATGTGTAACAATGCCTTCCACATAATAATGTTCAATAAATATTTGATTGAATGAATAAAAGGATGAAAGAGCTCTTAAGGGGTCATGATCCCAATTTTCCAGCAGGACCACATTTAACTGTCATTTCTTCCAGCCTTTTTGCAGTGGAATAGAAAAGTTGAAACCTGGGTCATCTCCTTAATTCCCCATGTGCTATCAGGAGATTTGACATAAATTGAAGAAATGAACTTTGGTGTCTCCATCTAATATTAAGCTACCTTAAGAGTATTTGGCACTATATAAATGCAAAGCATCACTGTTATTTGTTGTTTCTAGGAGAGGTGACGCCAGGACTATCTCAAGTGGAGTATGCACTTCGCAGGCACAAACTAATGTCTCTGATCCACAAGGAAACACAAGGGCAGAGTGGGACAGACCAGACAGTGGTTCTGCTGTCCAACCCTACATACTACATGAGCAATGATATCCCCTATACTTTCCACCAAGACAACAATTTCCTGTACCTGTGTGGATTCCAAGAGCCCGATAGCATTCTTGTTCTTCAGAGCCTCCCTGGCAAGCAGTTACCAGCACATAAGGCCATGCTTTTTGTGCCTCGGAGAGACCCTAGTCGAGAACTTTGGGATGGCCCACGATCTGGCACCGATGGAGCAATAGCTTTAACAGGAGTGGATGAAGCCTATACACTGGAAGAATTTCAACATCTAGTACCAAAATTGAAAGGTAACAAATGGGAGCAGAAGTCAAATCACAGGCCAGATTTGGGATTAAGACCTTTCTTGCCTATTTAGATAAAGTTCTTAATTTTCTAAAATGATTATCATAGTAGCATTTCCTTGAGCACCATGAAAGGATCGTACATCTTTCCCATAACACTTGAAGTGGAGAATGAGCGTGGGTCACTCTTCAAGATTACTGACCAGTCCATTGACCTCTGACCACCAATGCTTATTCTGCCAACTCTTCAAAAGGAAGCAATATTCTCAAAGAATGATCAGTGCATCACCAGCATCAGAATTACCTGGTGACACATATTACAATTACAAATACTTAATAGACCATTGGAAATGTAAAGTCTTGGGCCCCCACTCCATAACTGCGAGATCAGAATTTGACTTTAAATAGGATTCTCAGGTAATTCTTATAGTACACAATTGAGTCCACACTCCTCAAAATAGTCATTTTCTCTACATTTATTCTGGTAAAATTATAATCACTCATGTTTTAGGATCCCTTTTCAGGAACTTTTCAGAACCTACACTACATGATAAACTGTCTTTAGTGATTCTTGTAAATCTACAGCTCTGGGAAGCATTTTATTTTTTGAAGTGTCCCAAGTCACTTAGAGCCAAATTTGGTAAATAGATAGCTGATCAAGTTGGAAGGTACTAATTTTAGGCAAAATACGTATGGTTGTAAAATTATAGTCTGATTTTCTTATATGGGTTATAAACCATTTCTGAAGTCTATTTCTAAAAGAGAATTCCAAAATTGTTTCCAATGATCATGGAATTTATTGGACTTGTTTCCTGCAAAGACTCCTTTGAAAGAATGTACTCATTTGAATATGCAAGTTCTAATATGTTTGAATTGTTTTCATTGCTTTATGCAAGTATTCTCTATTTTACAGAGATAATTACTCAGCTGAATTCATAGAACTTTTTATGTCTTCAAACTCTTCATAAATGTAGGACACAGAACCATTTTCTTTTTAGCTTTATTTTTTTAATTAGTTGCTAGCTGTCTTATTCAACATTGTGAATTTCATCAACCCAGTATGCTAAATAAAACCTTACACCAAGTGTATTTCTCAAAAGTATTTCTCATTCACCATTTTTAAAGATTTTATTTATTTATTTGACACAGAGAGAGATCACAAGTAGGCAGAGAGACAGTCAGAAAGAGAGGAGGAAGCAGGCTCCCCGCTGAGCAGAGAGCCCGATGTGGGCCTCGATCCCAGGACCCCAGGACCATGACCCGAGCTGAAGGCAGAGGCCCCAACCCACTGAGCCACCCAGGCGCCCTCATTCACCATTTTTAATGTTAGTAGTTTACTAGATTAGTAGGCAGAGGAAAAGATTCATGAAATGATATTAATTTAAAAGTATAAAAACCAAAAAAAGTTGGGCTCTGATTTCATATACTAAGAACAGGTAGTAGAAGTGGTTTTACTGTTTTAAAAGTACAGTTAAATTTCTATTAATAAGATTAGCATTTGACCTGTAATATATACTTAAAACCATTTTTATTTTAAAATGAAAATATTCAGGAGGTTGTGTCATTAGTATGTAACCAATCAAAATTTTTAGGATTTTCCCCCTCTTCTATCCCAAATACTTTATATAAAACATACAACCCTTCAGACTTCAGTTGTTGGGAATGGTGCTGTTAGGCCACATCAGGAAAAAAGGAAAGGATGAATGGAGACCTGGTGTAAGTGATTCTCAACGTGAGTCCTCACATCTTATATCTCAGGCCCATATAGACCAGTTCCTTGGGTCTCTAGAATTAGGAGAATGTGGTTGTTAAATGGGAATATATGACAGATGGGAAAGGCAAGGCTTCTAGTTAAGTGTGGGTTAGCATACATTATCCACTAGAGTGTTTGCATAGCCATGTAATATTGCTTCTAAATGAGATGAGAACCTCCTTTCACTAACACTGAGATTGCAAAGAAAGAGAATACTTTTAACCAGGAGGTCAAGATCTGTGTATTTTTTTTCTGTCCTCTTACGTTCAGTTATTCACTAGTGCCTCTAGCTCAGTTGTGGAGTTCTTTAAATTTTAATAAATAATGAATGAAATCAAAGCTGGAGAAAAGGCTTTAGCCCTATCTACCATCTTTATAAGGAACTCTGAAGTTTGGGGGCAGAAAAGCTGTATATTTGATGTCAGAATATCTTGCCCTTTGCAGGGAATTAGCCTTTCCAATGATACATAATCACCCTTCAGTTGCTTCAGTCCTGAGAGAGTTTTTGCTAAACACTTGAAAGTTATATGTCACAGGTTTTGTAATTTTCACTCTTGTTCATGACCATTGGTATTTCTTGTTGCTGTTAGTTTTATTTTAAATATTTTTTTTGCTGCTCATTTTAAGATGAGACAAATATGGTCTGGTATGACTGGATGAGGCCCTCTCACGCACAGCTTCACTCTGACTACATGCAGCATCTGACTGAGGTCAAAGCCAGGAGCAAGAATAAGGTTCGAGCTGTCCAGCAGCTGGTACAGCGCCTCCGGCTGATCAAATCTCCTGCAGAAATTGAGAGAATGCAGATTGCTGGGAAGCTAACATCACAGGTATGGTTCCTATTGAAAAAGTTTTTCCAAATTAAAAAATCTAAGTTCTTATGTTTTGGTGGGTACTTTGAGGTGCCCAGTGCAGGAATCTTATAGTAGATGAGCATCTACTTTCTTCTTTAATGTTTAATGAACATGTCTAGAGACTTGCTCAGTACCTCACGAGGCAAGATTAATCTGCCTTCTTGTATCTTTCACCCATGATCTTAGTTGTTTCTCCTTAGAACAACATAAATTAAGTCATTGTATTTCCTTTCCTTATAATAACTACAGTAATAGTGACAGTTAAACACAGTTTGATTGCTAAGGAAGACCTGGGACCCAAAATGACAGTGCTTGCAAAGCTAAAATACAATTTATTATAGGAAAGGGGTATAGTACAGCAACAGCATTAAAGTAAGAATACCTGTCATAGTCAGTGGCTGTCTCACAGAAGGGTCCAGAGAAGCCAGGGGCAGGCTCCTGTTGTCGTGCAGGTCTTCAGTAAGGGTTGGGCAGAATGCATTTTCCTCTCATGGATAAGAAACCACAGATGTACACACAGAACACCTTGGAACCAGGGAACCTGAAATGGAATCTCAACTAGGGATTTTTGTGGTTTTGGTCATATTGGCCTATTCCTGCTGTACAATAGCAAAGCCCTTCAGAGAGCCCAAAGAGAGACCAAGTACAAACCATTAATCTCACTGTTATCAGTATTCAGAAGCTGGTACAAACTGCCCCCAAATTCCTTGTAACACTTTTCATTAATTGTGGTGAAATATATATAACATAACATTTGCACTTTATCCATTTTTAAGTGTACAGTTCAGTGACATCCTTGTCATGCCATCACCCCTACAATATATCTCCAGAACTTTTTTATGATTCCATGTTGAAACTCTCTACCCATTAGACAATAACTTCCCATTTTTCCTTCCCTCTAGCCTCTGGTGACAACCGTATTATTTTCTGAGTCTATAATTTGACTACTTTACACGCCTCATATAAGTGGAGTCATACAATATTTGTTCATTTATTTCTGATTTATTTCATCAAGCAAAATATTTCCAGTATTTAACCATGCTGTGGTATATATCAGAAATTCCCTTCTTTTTTTTTTATTTTATTTTATTTTTTTTTTTAAGATTTTATTTGTTTATTTGACAGAGAGAGACACAGCGAGAGAGGGAACACAGGCAGGGGAAGTGAGAGAGGGAGAAAGCAGCCTCCCCACTGAGCAGGGAGCCTGATGCGGGGCTCTATCCCAGGACCCTGAGATCATGACCCGAGCTGAAGGCAGATGCTTAACAACTGAGCCACCCAGGCACCTCTGAATTTCCCTTCTTTTTAAGACTGAATAATACGTCATTTTATGTATATGCAGCATTTTATTTATCTGTTCCTGTGTTGATGGACATTTGGGTTTTTTCTGTCTTTAGGAATTGTGAATAATTCTGCTATGCACATTCTGCTTTTCAAACCCCTACTTTCATTTCTTTTGCATATACACCCAGAAGTAGATCTAATAGATGAAATGGTCATTCTGTGTTCAGTATTGTGAGGAACCACCATACTAGATTTCCTAGTACCTGTACCATTTTAGATTCCCATTGGCAATGGACAGGGTTCCAATTTTTCATATCCATGCCAACACTTGTTTTCTATTTTTTGATAATAGCCATTCTAGTGTATGAAAGAGTATCTGACTGTGGTTTTGATTTGCATTTTCCTAACGGTTAGTGATGTTGAGCATCTTTTCATGTGTTTGTTGCCATCACAATACTTTTAATGAGTGTATTTCATGCTATGTCTCTACCAGAGTCAGTGCCATGCAGGAATTTAGCAAAACAACTCAAGTTCATTTCAGGAATTAACCCACAGTAATATCTACACCCAACGTGGAACTTGAACTCACAACCCTGAGACCAGGCCCCTCATGCTCTACTGACTGAGCCAGGCGGGCGTCCCTATGATCTACTGTAGGAGGCACTCTAGTCCTGTTTAAAATTTGTCCAGTACTGGGGCATGATCTCATATCCCTGATAATAGGACCTGAGCTGAAATCAAGACTTGGTTGCTTAACCAACTGACCCACCCCGGCGCCCCTTCGTAGGTCTTTTTCAGCAGTATGTCTTTCCTCATTAAAAACAAATATGCCAGGGCACCTGGGTGGCTCAGTTGATTAAGCATCTGCTTCCGGCTCCGGTCATGATCCCGGGGTCCTGGAATTGAGCCCCGTGTCAGGCTCCCTGCTCAGCAGGAGCCTACTTCTCCCTCTCTCTCTGCCCATGCCCCACTCATGCTCACTCTCTCAAATAAATAAAATCTTTAAAACATAACAATAATAGCAAATATGCCTGGGTGGCACAGCCCATTCAGCATTTGACTCTTCGTTTCAGCTAGGGTCCTGATCTCATGGGTTTTTGGATCAAGTTCTGTGCTCCACGGAGAGTCTGCTTGAGGGATTCTTTCCCTCTGCTGCCCTTCCCCTCCCCCCCCCCCCCCCCCCCCCCCCCCCCCCCCCCCGGGCCCCCTGCCGTTTCCACAAAAAAACAAAAAAAAAAAAAAAAAACCAACAACAAAAAAACCTGCCTGACCAGATACTCCTAAGCAGCTTTTTATTTAAAGATTTTATTTATTTGACAGACAGAGATCACAAGTAGGCAGAGAGAGAGGAGGAAGCAGGCTCTTTGCTGAGCAGAGAGCCCGATGTGGGGCTCAATCCCAGGACCCCAGGGAGGCAGAGGCTTTAACCCACTGAGCCACCCAGGCACCCCTCCTAAGCAGCTTCTAATTCCACTAATGCTCTCATATTTCAAATGGGCCAACAGCAGCCATGTTGTCATTGAGTACTAACTGCCTTTATACAATTAGGAAATACATTTGGTACTTCAAAAATGTTAATTCCCCCAGGCTTAGATCATATGAATAGTAATCACTCCTAATAGTGGTTTGAGTGTTTCATAGCACTTCCCATAACCAAACAAATTTCATAGTTCTCAGGAATGTGGGCCCACCAAGTTATACCTACTTCTTACCCTTTATCAGTGATCCAGGTGTCCCCATTGTTCCTTGCCCTTTTGCCTGTTTACCAAAGATAACAGGGCAAATAGCTATTTTTATACATAATATTTTGGCAAAAGGGATATGCATTAGATAACATTCTATCACCATATTCTGGTATGTTTTTATTTATTAAGATTTTATTTATTTGAGAGAGAGCATGAGCCATGGTGGGGTGTTGGGAGAGGGAGAAAGAGACAGGAGGCCCCACTCAGGGCCCGATCTCAGGACTCTGAGATCATGACCAGAGCCAAAGACAGAGGCTTCACCAACTGAGCCACCCACGCACCACTCTGGCATCTTTTTTAAACCATCATCATTATTAGTGCCACATGATGTTCTTTTAGATTAATAGGCAATGTTTTTCAAATTCAGCCCACTAAACATTTTACAACACAGGTTGATTCCCAGCACAGCTCCTCTATAATAGATCCGTCCTGTGAAATGAGAATGAAAAAGCATTTGCATTGTTGACAGAGCTCCCATTTATTTCTTCATCTGTTTTGAGGATATATGTCACCCTGGGAAGTGTATTTGTTAGGATAGTTATTGTTCAGCTCAAAAAGAGCCAAAAAGGCTCTTCAGAAAAGGAGACTCTGTCAGAGTCCTTTGCCCCAACAGGCTTCTAAATCAAAGCTAAGAGAAAATACTACTTTCTTGCTTTAAGCATCTCTTTAGGCACCAAAATTATGTTAGATTTTCCCTTTCGTGGCACTCATTTATTGGCTCCCTTCCCCTCAGCAACAATCTGGCCTTTCTTCGTTCTTTCATCACTAATTTTAACCCACACCTTTCCCCCTGAAGTAGAATTTTCTGGTTAGTCCATTTCTAGTAGTAGAGGGGACAGATTGGATAAGTACAGAAAAATGGGATTGTACCATTGGCAACTAATGCAGTTTTTTTTTTGAGCTTCAGTGGAGCCCAGTGGTCTGTGTCATTGTTTTGTGCATTGCTGCCTGACTTGAGTTCCTCCACGTCCCATTCCTTTCATGGACATTCATTGCCATTTCAAGAGAACTTACTAGGCCATCAATTTATTGATTGCAGTTACCTTCAAACCCTGGCATTGGGTTTCTTTGGTAAGTATCGTTATGGCCTGCTTTGATTTGCCCTCAGAATTTAAATAGAGGGGTACCTGGGCAGTTCAGTCAGTTAAGCTTCTGCCTTCGGCTCAGGTCATGATCCCAGGATCCTGGGATCAAGTCCCACATCGGTCTCCCTGATCAGGGGAAAGTCTACTTCTCCCTCTGCCCCCTCCCCACCCCACTCATGTACTCTCTCTGTCTCACTTTCACCCACTTTCTTGCAAATAAATAAAATCTTAACAACAACAAAAATTTTTTTTCATAGAGATTTCCAGAGAGCAGCACCCTCCCACGTGGGGCTCTTTTACTCTCCAGTTATTTATGGCCCATTTGTTAGACCAATCGCAAGGCAATTGGCAACAGCCTAGGATCAGTATTTGCCCAAATAGCAGGACTTTTATTTTTATCTAGTTCTATCACAGGTAAGAACACAGCATATAATTCAGCTCAGTGGACTGACTTGTTATTACCCTCTTCCGTGAGGATTTTACCTTCTGCTGGACTCAGAGCACCTGCTTTCTGTACAGAATTACTCTCAATTCTGAAACTACCATCTGTGAACCAGACCAATTACCTGGCATCCTTGGTCAGTGGATGAAACAAGAGAAGGAAAAGAAGGCTCATAGGAAAGGAAAGGAAAAAAGGCTCATAAATGTGAGTCTGTCCTGCCCCCCAGTATCATGCTTTGTATAGTGCATTTCCATTTCATGATAAAACTTTTTTGGGCATCGCCCTTCTTACTGTAATGTTTTCCTGACATCAGCAGTGATATGATATGTATTTCAGGTCTTAATTTGCTCTTAAAAGTCTTTTTGTTATTGGGGCAAACTCAGCAAATGTCCCAAAATAAATGAGCAATTGTCTTTCAAA